AGGAGAGGAGAGGAGAGGAGAGGAGAGGAGAGGAGAGGAGAGGAGAGGAGAGGAGAGGAGAGGAGAGGAGAGGAGAGGAGAGGAGAGGAGAGGAGAGGAGAGGAGAGGAGAGGAGAGGAGAGGAGAGGAGAGGAGAGGAGAGGAGAGGAGAGGAGAGGAGAGGAGAGGAGAGGAGAGGAGAGGAGAGGAGAGGAGAGGAGAGGAGAGGAGAGGAGAGGAGAGGAGAGGAGAGGAGAGGAGAGGAGAGGAGAGGAGAGGAGAGGAGAGGAGAGGAGAGGAGAGGAGAGGAGAGGAGAGGAGAGGAGAGGAGAGGAGAGGAGAGGAGAGGAGAGGAGAGGAGAGGAGAGGAGAGGAGAGGAGAGGAGAGGAGAGGAGAGGAGAGGAGAGGAGAGGAGAGGAGAGGAGAGGAGAGGAGAGGAGAGGAGAGGAGAGGAGAGGAGAGGAGAGGAGAGGAGAGGAGAGGAGAGGAGAGGAGAGGAGAGGAGAGGAGAGGAGAGGAGAGGAGAGGAGAGGAGAGGAGAGGAGGAAGAGAAGAGAAGAGAAGAGAAGAGAAGAGAAGAGAAGAGAAGAGAAGAGAAGAGAAGAGAAGAGAAGAGAAGAGAAGAGAAGAGAAGAGAAGAGAAAAGAGAAGAGAAGAGAATAAAGAGCAAAGGGGGCAACGGGCTGAGTATCATGGAGAAGCCCATCATCACCACCTGATACTCCACTCCCACCCCAGAGCTTGGGATGGAAACCAATGTCCCTGAATTTCATTATTCTGCTGTCAGGCAGAGGCTAAGAAATCTCCTGGCAAAAGGAGATTTACCCCATTTCTCTGCAATCTTCTGTTCTGACTATTCCAGCATCTCAAATGGCCAAGATGGGTAGAGTGAATTCAACTCCAAGTCTGGTCCACTCAGGTGTAACATGGCATATGTCCATTCCTTTGCTTTTCACAAAAATGAAGACTTGCAAATATATGCAGAAAAACATACACAAACACTCACAAGTCCTACGCTCACTAATCGTTTAACAACTGGCAGTACTTCATGAAAAAAGTGGCAGAATCAGTGTTCAAAAGTTAGGAAACTGGTAAGCAGCTGCTTTGGGAGGTGTGAGGCACCTGCTGAGCTGGAGACCAGGGACCTGAGCAGCACCCTTGCCTGCTTGTGCCTGCCTCTTCCCACAGGCAGAGTCCTCTGGGAGGGAAGAAGGAAGAAAGTTTGATAATTGGGTAACTCCTATCATTTGGATAGCAAGACGATGTCCTGATGTGATGCGAAGCACAAGTGAATATCTCATAGCTGCCAGGCAGCTGACCCGGAAGTCATTGGAGCTCTGCTGTGAACGTGACGGGTGTAATATTGGTCAAATACTCTGAAAAATGAAGTTCTAGATGCCCCAAGCAGGACACCCAAAATTACTGAAAACGTGATTTCACGATGATTTAGTTGTGTTTGAAAATATGGACAAAGACAAACTTCCTGCTCCAGAGTATTACTGAGAATTCTTTACACTAAAACACTGCTGGGATGAGCAGCACAGAAAATCCTATAAAGAAGCAAGGTTAAACAACATGCAGTAAATACAACACAGGAGCTCCCAGGGTGAACACCTGATTATAAGCATATGAAATGAGACTCACACAGACTGCAGGATAAAGTATAAAACATACCATGTGAGAAAATCATTAATATTGTATTAATGCATTTTTGGAAAAAAGTATGTTACTTTTGGCATGTCTTAACTTTTGAGAAGGAGGTCTTGGAATCTTAATAATATTCTCTAACAGTAGCTTTTATGGATGATAATATAACACGTGGACATAAAAGACCAGATGGACTCCAAACAATCTTAATAATGTATTATATATATTTCTTCATGCTTACATGCTTGTCTAAAGAACTACAGCTCTTCTGGTGCCATATAAATATTTAATAATGATAATTTAGAATATACTGATATAATATTACATCTGGGTATATTACATCCTTATTGCAAAATGGACTTGCTTTAGTTACATGCCAGCTCTGTTGGATTCATTGAGTGTGTTCTCGAAAGTAAGCAATTAGTACTCGGCTTCATTAAGTTTATATTTTGATACTTTCCTCATTAGAGGAAAACATTACATTATGGGCAGAATTTAAAGAATTGCTTAAAAGTTAAGAAAATGCTTCAGTGCTTTTATAACTAACAACAAATTTAAATATACGCACCAATGGCTTCATGCACTGAACTGATCAACAATCTTTTAAATTTTTTTCTAAAAAGAAACCTCAGAAAAAGCCATAATATACTTTTTCTCTTTCCAAAAAAAAAAACCAAACCAAAATAAAAATCTCAGTTTTTTATACATGCCCTTTCAAAATTAAGCTATATAGAGTGTTATGTAAACAGCCCATGATGTGCTGAATAATGACATCCAAGTTATTTTCACAAGTGAAAAGTTGGCTTCATGCATTTCTTCAAAACCTATCGGAATATATTGAGCTTTTGAGACCTATCTTTTGCCAATAAGCAGGCTATTTAAAAAAAAAAATGGTTTGTGCACACGTGGTACCCTTTCTGAAGGCAATGAGTATTTCTAGAACCAAACAGCCCTAAGACAGAAATTAAAGGTACCCTATAAATGACTTTAACTAAATGCATTAGTGATTATGATGGAAGCTATAAAATTAAAATGCCTAAGACACAACCCCCCAAAATGAATGAGGTAACACCCATATTTCAGACTTCTAAATTCAGAACAAACACTGACGAAATACTAAGGTAATGCAGAAAGATGCATGAAAGGTCCTTGTATGGCTAATCATACAGTCTTCCCCTGAAAATGTGTACAAATTAATATAATATACAGAGAAGTATAGTGCAGGACCCCAAAAACATTTAAAGCTAACAAAAAGTTCTACTCATGTCATATATGCCAGTCCTTCATACTGCCATCTTTCCCTCTAATATTAATTTTATTTATGTAAGAACAAAATATATCTAAATTTGTGTTGACAGACTCCAAACTAGTGATTCTAATCAATATGATTCTGAAGTTGCTCGATTGGTTTTTCACATTGACACAGTGCAATAATTTCACATTCTTCTGCATATTTTAAAGCCTATTAAAAATGTTAAAGCGTCTATTACAAAATTAAGGGCACTAAGAACGTTTGTATAAATCAGTTTAGAAAATTGCTACTAGCTGTGTACCGGGGATACACTGGTGTGTTCCAGTATAAAGGCCTTATGGTGACCTATGCTGTGCTCACACAAATTGCTTGCTGGATATACCATGGCAATTTACATTTTCTTATGAAAATTTGCTATGTCAGCTAAGGTTGACTTTTTCTGTACTGTGCTTGCAAGGTAAAAAGCAGTACTTAAGAAAACCTCAAACCAAAACTAGACATTTTGGGTAATGATACGCTTTTTTCCCTTATAGGTAGAACAGTGGCTGCCTGGCATGGCATGTTTGTTATACTGAGGTCTTTTTACTGGTATCTCCTTCCTCTGTTGAACTGCGATGATACTCGCAGCCTGGAGAAGTGCTGCCTCTATGACCAGCAGGGAAAGGATACCTTTTCATGGAGAGATGACTGTGTTTATTGAGCATTTGCTCAACTTAGATTTAAGGTAATAACAAACAAGGCTATTTGCACTAAATACTATTGTGCTCAGCACCATATAAATGCTGAAAATTGGTTTGCAATATGTCACTATATATATGTGTGTATGTATATACATTATGTGTTACCTTGGATACAAGGCTTGCTCTGTAGGCAGCTAACTGCTTCAGATATTCCTTCTTGGCAGCTTCAGTTTTCTTTTTGTATACCTAAAAACAAAGAGTGTCACATTGGTAAATTAATCTGGTTTTGTTTTTATATATCACCTGTGTGTCTCATGCATCTTCATAAAGTCTTTTAAGTAAACAGCCTTTCCTCCTCGTATTGCTTAAAGAGTGAAATAACAAACATCAAATATTTTAATGAAAATATTTTTCTAACTGTGAAACACCCTTTAACTACCCAGCAGTACTGAAAAAACAATATCCCTCATAGCATCTCAGGTTTAACTTTTCAAAGTGAAGCGCGGGGCGTACTTGCAAATGGGACCTTTAGGGACGGGGGAAGGCAGACATGGGCCTCTCCACTGGCTTCCACTTGTGAGACGAGTTAAAACCCTCTGGGGAAGATGAGAATGTGCAGAAAGACATTTGAGCTAAATGAAGGAGATGACGGCACCACACAGATCAGCCAAGAGGCTTTCTCTCTTCCCTGGATAAACTGTTGGGGGCAGTCAAAGAAGCTTCATGGAGCTGCTAAGGATAATAAATCATGTTAGTCATTATTCCAGTCTTGATCCCATATCGGTCTAATTAACTTCTCAGGAGCATGGATCTATTTCTGCACATTTCTCTCAACTCACCAAATTATTTTAAATGCGGCATGTGCACAATCTCATAATAGATTAAAGAGCTTGGAAAATCACTTCCAAATTTCAAGATCAAAGATTATCTGCAGGATTAGGCAGGACCTCATAGCACTACAGTAATATGATGTCAGGAAAGCATACGTACATATTTAGGGTTGAAAGTTTTCAGGAGGAGAACCAGTTTCTGACCCGTGTCTAGCTAATGACTTGCTGTTAGCCATGTCAGTGACAGATTTGGGAACAAGTCAGCATTTCTCTTTGCAAATATTACCATGAGTTTCTCACCAGTTCATGTTTGTTTTTTTTTTTTCTAAAAGGGTAGACTTAGGAGCCATGCAAGCATCTTGGCTTCATGTAACTAAGCAGGATTGACCCCTAGCCTTCCATGTTGTAGGAAAAAGCTTAAAAAACATCCAAACAGAAGGCTGAAAAGTAAGGGAGACAAATAAAGGGAAAGTAAATTTCCTTCTTTTACTGCTGTTATATTTCACAACTTCTGAGTCGCATGCCCAGGGTGGAGATTAATTCATGTGTTCATGGGCATTTGGGATTCACAACATTACACAAAATGGAACTGCAGCTTTGAGTCTCTGCTGTCCACTTCTCCAGTCAAATGCACAACCTGGGCACCTGTGGAAAGCCTCCATGAAGAGAGTAAAAACTATCCACCTTCCCCCTCCCACTCCACACTGCCTAGTTAACTGGGCTATTGATTCAAAAGTAAAAGACGGGCAAAGCTATTTATGACAATTTTGGGGTGTTCTCCTGAATTCCACAGCTGAAAAACACACACATACATCTCCTCCCCAGAAGTATAAACTTCATGAAACTTTAAAGTGATCTCTTCTGATCTTCCGATGCTCTAGTAAAACCAGCAGTCCCGTAACAGAGAGGACTTGGCAGCACAGAGTGTGCACACAGAGGACAATATAGTTGCAGATTACAAAGTGAGAGTGGTAGTGTCAGGCTGGAAGGATCCAGTACAACACCATTTTTATAAAGAATGTGCTCGTGAAACATTTTTTTGTTTCACTGAGGCTTTGCTTTCAGAGACAGAACAAACCTCAGATACAGGCTGGCAAAACTCAGAGACTGCCTAAAAGGATTAAAGATTTTGCTTCCCAGGGAAGCAAAAGATCATAATGGAAACAGAGAAGTCTTAGGCTTCTAAAATTGTAAATATAAAGACAGAGAGGAAAAAAGATTGGTTTTAGCTGTGCAACTGTATCTGTGTACCCTTGTAATTTCTCCAGATTAAGATAAATACATAGTGTTGGCTGATGTCCTATTGTTTTGCAAAAAAAAAAAATGGTAGCAATTTGCTTTTTAAGTTGTAATCGCTTGTGATTATTAGGGAAATGTACTGTTTGTTTTGAAAACGAGTAAAAAATTAATCAACAATCTGTTCCTAGCTGCTAAAATAAATTTAGCTTGACCTACAGAACAAAGACTAAGTTATACTGCTTTTTATATTGCAATGCCTCTGCATCATTCTGATAGCCAGTTTAAAAAACTGAGCTGAACAAAGAATTTTACACAGAATAATGATCTTCAAAAGATCATGTATCTACTGCTTCCACATTGGGTTTTATTTTGCATTACACAAATATAAAAAATATACACTCCTGCTGTGCTCTTACAGTCACAGCACATGGAAAGAGTCTTCTGGGACCTGACTTTTCCCTCAAATAGTCATTATGCACAAGGTTAACTCCATAATATGAAGCTAACAACAATTCTGTAAATCTCCATCTGAAACATCACTACTTCATAGGAATGTCATCATACAGCCTTTATTTAATTATTTCCTACTTATACATCTACCATGTTCAGTGTACACATTGTCTTGCCCTCTTTTATTGGGTCTTCTGGTGAGCCAATAATATTCACATGAACACCATGTCTTCCATGGTAATATAAACATTAACCATGTAATAGAAGGTCATTATAGTAAAACAGTCCTTAATGGATGGGGAAAGGACCCCAGCCTGCTTTGATGTTTTGCATTGGCCAGAATGGTCCCCACAGGCTGGCTTGTCTGGAGGGTGGTCAGCTCACCCTGCTTCGTCCTTGTAAGGGCGTTGGCATGTCCTCTGAGGACAACAGCTTGAGCTCTCACTGTCTATATGCTGTTGTCCTTTTGAAGATGCCCACTGTTTAGGTAAACATACAAGTGGGTTGATGATCCTCATGCTAGTTTTGGAAATTCTGATTGGTCCTGGCTTATACTAAAAATTAGGGTAAGTTCTGTCTGTCTGGGGATTTGTTAATTTTCACAAGTAACAACAAGGTCTGGCTGACAATATTTTGCTCTGAAAGCAAATGAATGCGGTCCTGGCAGTGGGTACCAGTTTGCTGACTTTGTGCTAGACTGGACTTGTGCTGGGGGCTTATGAAGGCAGGGCAAGTGGGGAGCATCCTCTGCATTTGTAGCAGCACCTCAAACAGGTATGAGCAAGTCAGCTGCCCCTCCCAACCTCATTTTTTTTTGCAGCTGCTGGAATTTTTAGCCCTCAAGCTTAAATAGTTTTGTGTTATAGTAAGTATAACAGAGTTGCATCCTTGCAGCACTTTTGGGGAGGAAAAAGGCTTGTGTCGTCATTCAAGTGTGCTCTAGAAAATGGCTGAAGCTCTTTTGAGTTTCATACTTAAGGCAGTGCCAAATTATGAAACACATTTCCAATAACACATTTAACATTTTTCCTGCAACAAGAAGCAGGCTTCTGTTCTGTTGCTTATCTATAGTGTATAGTGGCAATATTTAATTTTATTTTTAACATCTCAGAAATCTCTTGTAAGGTCACTTTCCCCTCCTCCATCAAGCAAGCAACAATTATTAAATAAGTAACTTGACAGGAGCATATACTTATGGAATTAAGTAATTTCTAGCTTGCTTTAATTCAATTAACATGATAATTGAATGTCAACTGATTGTCATTCAGGCAGTAAAGGCCCATTCTGATTCAGCAGCAGATTCGTTTCCTTACACAATATTATATTTTCTATATTGTCCCAGCTGTGGAAATTGAATGTTGGCAGAAAAAACATCATTTCTGTATACACAGGGTAGGTCAGCTTAATTTATTCTTATTCTCTTCAGCTTGTTATAGAAACCCCAAAACACCAAGATTACATTCATATGTCTAGAAATGGAAGCTGCTGGCATTATTTTCCTACTGTGCTTCACAAATGCAAATTTACGCAGCATAATACACAGGTTCTTAGTTTACTATTTAATTACATTTCCAAAGTGCACCCAGTAAGGTAGCTTCAAGTTCGCTTACACTGTTTAGCAAAGCATGCAGCAATATAGAAGATGATACTTTCCAAAAGGAATAAGTATGAAACTCTACCTTGTGCATATAAGTATATAGGATAGCATCTGAATTAGGCCACCAGGGAAAACAAATGCCCTGGGCTCCTCCATTGGTAATGTAACAGCCTCGTACCAGCCCCCAGGCCACTGCAATGACCATACATGTGGGCTACCAGTGCTGTAGCAGCTTACATGGAGGACTGAACTCTTTATTAATAGTGATACACATCCTTAAACTGACTGCCCCAAAGTTTCATTTGGAGATCATAGAATGATTGAATCATAGAACCGTTTAAGTTGGAAAAGACCCTTAAGATCACTGAGTCCAACCGTTAACCTAGCACTGCCAAGTCTACCACTATACCATGTCCTCAAGCACCACGTCTACCC